AATAAAAGTGAGCGCTTTGTTTTTGAAAGGTAGTAATGGTTGCATCGCCTGCTCGTCTCTGGGATTTTGAGTTTATTATATGTTTATGAACGCTACGCTCCAAACGCCAATCTTTCTGATGTTGCGATATGCCTTTCTTCATAGGAAAATAGGAAACGAGCTCTTCTGAAACGTCAGGGCGAAATAAAAGAACACTTGCGCCTGAAGCGCCTGTCAATGATGGAGCTGTCGGAATCCCCCCACCCTCAAACTTCACCCGTGAAGGAGTGCTACAGGCAAAAAAAAATAATTGACGAAGGAGGTACAATTAACAGCTGAAAAATAAAGGTACGACGTCGTAGCAGTATCAACGGCGCCTTTTAAAATTCATTGAGCATTCTCGGAAATTCAATTGACCAGCTAATGGAGCAGAATAAATTATCGTATGAAGCATTGGAAGTTTTCCAAGCATCGTTTTCTCCTAATGTTCAGGAGCCTCTCAACCAAGTCCGTGAAAAGGCGGATACCCCTCAGAATAATGAAAAGAGTTTGCACAGACGCTGCCCTATTATTCGCCAAGGGCTGATGATTGTGTACGAGCGCCATTTTCATTTTAGCTGCATTTCCTCACAGTGTACATCTGCTGTGAGGCAACTTTGTAGACATATAATGCGAATTGATATCCCGAGTACCTTCCTTTTCAACACGCCTAAAACGCCAAGTGTCAAAGAAAAATTAAAGCAGATGTGCATTAAAGTCACTCCAACGTTCCCTCGCCTCCTAAAAATAAGAAACAGTTGTATTTATTAGCTTTGACAAAACTCACGGCCGCAAGCACACAGAGCAATACGACGGTACAAGGCTGTCACCCCCTCCTTCTGCCCAGCGCGATGTAGACGCCGCGGCTCACTTCGACACATATGCGAGTATGCGAGACCACCCCTCCAGAAGTTGTGGGGCAACCTTCTTGGTGACGACGGTGATGAATAGGAGAGCAGCATTCTTTCATGCAGCTTATGCACAGGCCGATTCCATAGTATAGGCGTTTCAGCCTTCGAGGGATCTTACAGCGTTCAAAGTAACGTAGGCACGTTTGGCTTTCCTACAAGGTTGCGGTGGGCCTAACAGGGACGTCCGTATACACAAAATGTTCCCAGTGTTGGCACCGCGCTGGTATATTATTTGATAAGAATACTACAAGGTAAATTATTCAAACTATATGAGCCTAAAAATTATGTCCTATGCCACAAACTATTTGCACCTAGAGAAGCAAATTCACGCTTAGCCGATGACGCACAGCGTAAGCTATTGCTTCCGGGTGTTCATACATTTTTATGCGTTTTTTTCATTCGCTGTTCATTCATGAGCGTGTTCACGCAGTGACGTGTTTTCAATTTCAGATTAATGGCTTTAGAATAACATTTCAAAGTATAAAGTTTATAATGACGACACCGTTTCTGCAGAGAAAAGGATGTAAACGACTACAATAAGATGTAAATAGAAATAAACAAAAATTTAAGCACACACACATTGTTTCAATATCACAGGCAAATGACACCGTGAGAAGGTGGGGCTGATACGAAGGAAATAAAATCATTATGAATCAATTAGGACACGGGGTTTGTTTGCTTATCATAGTAATTTGGTTCCATAGACGAGCCGGACTGGAGCCGCTCTTGTTCAGTGAGTTCACAGGCGTGACCTGCACGCACTCACACGCGTGCACACGTGTTCCATGCGAAATTTATGTAAAGACAAATAAGTTTCGTAAAGAAACCGTCGCGATTCAACTGCACAATGGAAACGGGCGAGAACAGTTCAGATTTTCTAGGAACGAGAAATATGTGCACGTGATTGGCCTTGCACTTCCTTTGTATGCGTAGCCACAAAGTGTTTCTGATACGGCGGAGCATGTATACAGCTGAAAAAGGAGATAATCATTAGAGGCGCCGCTTTCTAAACATCGCGTCAAGCTAAAGTCATGCCGCCTTTTCGGTAATTGCTTATGAAACAGCCCCGTCGCCCGTGCTTTCACGGTTTCGCCCTTTGTGTAGCATCGCGCGTGCTCTTCGACCTTGCCGCGTCGACAAACTCCTTTGCGCGCTTTTTTTTTTTTCAAAGCGCCGTGGGCCACGTGGCGACCGAGGCGTTGAAGCCGATTTGGCAACGCTTCAAGTTACGCCTAAACGACTTCGCCTCGCAACTACTCTCCGCTCTCGCTCCTACATCCATATAACTCACTCTTATAACGCCCGCCGCCTCGCTCTGATGAGCGCGCCTTCCGCTCGTTCTACCACGTGGAAAGAAAGGTGGCAAACGATTCTGCCAAGCACGCTTAGCCACTATTAACAGGCCACGGCCTTGTCTGACTCGCGCTGAAGTGTGCAAAGCACTTGTCAACGGCGCACCTTCGCTTTCGCAGCACAAATATAGACGTACTATCCGTGGCGCGCCTGGGAACATTCGAATGGTGCGTTCAGTTCATTGCTGAAGAACTGGCAGTGCGTCGGCAGTGCCTAGGATTACGTAATAGTCACTGGTGTTTGTTTCAACGAATTGAGGATCCGACGATATGCGACGGTAGACTCACACGCTCTCGCTTATAGATTCCCCCAAGATTAAAAAAAAATAATAATAACAAGCATCCACGAGTTTCGTGAATCCAGTGACGTAACTTCTGCAAGAACACTTCAATTTTTTAAACGCAAGGACACTTCCGGTACAATGATTGCTGTGGCAGATAATTTAGTAGAGAATCAAACAGGTTATTCCAATATTGCAAGTTCAGCCCGTGCTGGCGACAAATTATCTTTCAGTGCTGTCAATTTTCTAACCATTTCTGTCACAATTACTGAAAATAACACCCGGTACACTTTCCTCGGCTTGCCTGTTCGTTCTCATGATTTGGACTGATAACCAACTCACAGAACGAATTTAATTTCTGGGACATTAAAACCCCAAAAATATTATTATTAATACTGAATCGCTTGTTGCTGAGTTGGATAGAGAAAGTAGAACTGTAGGTCTGCCGATTGATGTGCACAAAAACAAAGTAATAGGTGGAACAGTTTCGTAAGAGAACATCGCTCTGCTATAGGCAATGAGGCACTGGAAGTGGTAAAAGAATACGCCTTTTGGATACATAGACTTAAGTGTTGAGGAAATTGTCACAGTCACGGTCAAACTCGGCACAGGGTGTTATGAGGTATCCTCTTTTATGCTGCAAGAGAATGTATGGAATTCTTCGCGCTCCTTCGGATAAAATATTTAACCGTGTATTCCAAACGCCAAGTGGTTCAGATTTATTAAAGCTAGCCAGCGTGGTTCCAATGAATGAAAGTGCAAACTGTAGCGTTTCAGAAAACTGCCGTCCATACATCTATTACGTTCTACTTATATGGTGTTCGAGAAAGCTATCGCGACACCATTGATAAATTTTCTTGATGGCCAATCCGCGTTACCATTTGGTCAAAATAGCTTGCACACAAAGAGATCAACCTTCAGTGTAGTTGCATTTCTTCCAGATACGGCAAGTTGCTAGACAAACAAAAATATAATACCATTTGGCGAATGCACATGTATTACAAAATGTTTTTCAACAGTAAATCATGGCATACCTAATAAATTACATTTGTGTGGTATTTATAAGGAATATTGAGGTTTTTTTTTTAAGTTCGGAACACTTTGGCCGCCCGGGCTGTTCTATACTGTGTCGTTTGGCATAACGCAGGCAAAAACAAATGAAAAAAATATAAAAAAGGGACCCAAGCAGCCAATAGAAATATAACAAACAAAGAAAGAAAACATGAAGAAATGCTGACATAAATAGATTCGATGAGAGGAAAAAACAGATTCACTGGAAAAGCAAAAAGAGAGAGAAATAGAAATAAATAAGCGGAAAATCGAGAAATAACAAAGAAGGTTGTCCTGCACGGCACTTCCTTCAAGCTTGACACTCATGGTGTGCATGCTTTATTCTTATATTTTCTAAACACGCGATAGACCTCCTATTGATGCTGCATAATTTCAAACGTACAAACTCTTCTAATTTCCCATTCTAAAAAAACACGGGAAATATGGCAGGCTAATGTTGGCCGACTACAGCGAAAGTGTGGCCAATGTTGGCAATTTGCTCAGGTAACGCGAACATCACCTGCGTTCACTTTCAGCCTACTAATTCAGTAATCCGCGAATCATTTCATGTGTGCCATGAATACAACCACACCATGTGTCCACTTGAAATAAAAAAAATATTAATTTGCAATCAGGAAGCGACTACAACCTTGAAAGCAAGAAATGTGCTTCGAACGCATCTGGCATTCATGTAGCGCAGGAACGTGAACTGTCTGTATTAATCACACGAGAGAGGGCTACGGCATTTCTCCGAGAAAAGTTACAGAGAAAACACTTTATTGGATTCTCCGGTGGACGACTTTCCTAGCCCCGCGAGGGGAAGGTGGTCGGGATGTGGCCACGCATCAACTTCAACGCTTTAACGAATGATAGGAGGGCGCGGACAACGCCTTGCTCCAAACCGCTTGCGCGCTTCGGAATGAAGTCGGATTGCCGTTGAGCAAGCCCCACAAGCCTCAAAGCCGGTTCGCTTGCGCAATAAGAGGCGACCTTTTTTGTCCTGCTAGACATGGTCGAACTTTTTCTGAATGTGGGGATACAACTTGGAGTGGGTATCAATGTAAGTACCCGAGCCACAGCTGGTAATAAATAAAAAAAAAACGTTATTTCCCTCATACCCGTAATACCAATGTTAAATGATGAACTTACACATACAACTCACTATTCGAGGATTTTATAGCAGAATATTTCTGCTTCAAATTGAGAGCAGGTGACTAAATTTTGGCAGTTTGATCTAGGCTGGGAGCATTCACAGCAATTTGCAAGGAGAAATGCACGATAGGCTTTAAAGGAACACATGCCAGTGCACGTATGTAGGAACGCGTGGTAGGAGGCGTCCTACGCACGTCTGGCGTTGCTGAGCGCGCGCGGGCGTACGTGAGATATACCTCCTCTCGCGTCTGGCGTCAGGGCCAGGTCGTGGTCGATGAGCTGCCCGAAGGCCATGACCAGGTGCGTGTACCGGTCTGAGTAGGTGGCTCCCTGCGATGATTGTAGGTTCCACAGGGCATTGGACACCAGGCGGGCATTGGGCAGCGGCTTACCGGACTGGGACAGAGTCTTGGGCGCGGAGACACCTGCACGACGAAAAATTACGTGAAACATCCAAAATCCATGCATCTCTACAATTGAACAGGGACAAGTGGGCAAATCTGTGAGATCCGTAAAGTGACACACAAAGTTGAAGGATACTTCAGCTTCGCCTTCAAATGTTGAACTTGTTAGCGATATCCTGTACATAATGCGTAAAAGCACATGAAGCATATACTTTCATTGTATAGTGTTATTTGAGAAGTTCGAACTGGATTGCTACAGTGTCATCAATAAATTGAAAGTGGCTTGTATTAGTGAAACTTCGATGTATCACTGCATTATGTGCAACGGGTAGCATGCTTTAAGCCACGACCAGTTATGCGGATGAAATGTTTGTGAAATTGCTTTGCACCCGGCCACCATAGAGACCTATGGGAATGCGCGCAGTAACGTGTGCACCTTTCGTAATGGGTGGCCAGCTTTAAAGCACGAAGTCCATATGATGATTTTACGTTGTGACATCCAGTGGCAACGTACGCTTGTACCGCGCAATATTAGAAGACGGAATGCGAATCGTGTACTCAGTGCGCACGTGTTTATAAAGCATGAAGGTTATCGTCACTGCATTTCCAAACAGACGACCTTATTTACAATGTATTCCAAGCACGCGCGCGGATGTGTGTAGAACACCTGTTGCCACGCGCACGGTCTGGGTTCGATCCTCCCTCGGTGGCAGAAATTTTTATTATTATTTATTTTCATTTTTCTCGACTTTTTGGTTACGCACAAGAGGATTTTGCACTCTCAGCCAATGACTCCCACGTTCACGACGGCAATGACGCCGACACCGATCGACGCAGGCCCCAACGCTGATGCCGTGATTCATGTGAAACGAGCTCTCTAACGCCATCGCTAGAGAAGCCGATGCAAAGGCTACGTCCTAAGGTTCATGTTCAACTCGCCGACTAGTTTAAAGGATGTGTGCTTGTAGGTGTTTTGTACTGTTCCATCACATTATGATTGTTGTTCGTCTATTGTAAAGCTTTTCTTGTTCATATACACACATGTTTCGACTATAGCAGGCGTTTTCGATATACCATGACTGCGTACAACGAGGGCTAACGACAAAACTGGGTCCTAAAGTAAACAATGTGTACGTTCAAGTCACCGACAACTAGTATGAAGGAGTCGCACTTCGAGATTGCCATGCTGGATGACCATGGTGGTTGCACCAGAGATTCAGCCCCACCCCTTCCCTCACGAAGTTCGGATGGAAGGAAGTGCTTTACCGAATACAATTAATAAAAAAAATTAATGTTTTTGAAGGCCTTCAACAAGTGGTTCCTTCGAAAAGTATTCCAGGCTACGGGCTGGGCTTGTAGGTGTTTTATATTGTTTTGTCAGAATCGTGATTATTGTGAATCTATTCTTAAACCATTTTTTGTCTCATATCCATTGGATGGAAGGTCCTGGAGGCCGTCGACTACAATCTCACTCCCATCAGAGAACGGCAGTGCGCGCTTGAGGCGCACACGCGGCCGGCCACCATCATTTGATGAATCCTGCAGAATGTGCAACCACAACATAATGTTGCCAGACGAAGGAGCAAGATGGCGACGCTTCTCAATTCCGCAGCTGGTTATCGGCAGTCGACCAGGTTCCTCGACGCCGTCTAATACGGTTTGACTGATCGTTTCGTGGCGATCATTTCGTGGCATGGTACATTACAAGGGAAACCTCCTTAACGCCGCTTTGGTGCGGGGATTGTATCCGGTGCTGGCGGAGCAGGTGGCTGCGACACTCGCTTTCCAGTGCGAAAGCCTAATCTATATGGATTTTCAGATGCTGGTCAAGATTTCAACCTCATGTTCGGTCGCGGCGGAGTCGGTCACCCTGCTTTGCGGTTCGAGCGTCAGCACCCACGTCATCACTTGGCTCATCGCTTAGCCCATCACTTGGGCTCATTACTTGGCCAATTAGGAACCTATGGCCTCTCCTGTCGTTCACAACGCCAATGAGCTAGCCCATGCCAACGTGCGCGGGCTTACCCACCGTGCCGGGCAAGCGGTCCTTACGGGTGCAGACGCGGGGCTCCAAAAGGACTCACTCCAGACGTTCAATGAGGTGACGAAGCTCTATAAGCTCAGCAGGAGGGTATATACCCCGCCTCACTCCAAGCTCTTCAGGCCTCAGTCTTCCACTCTTCCCATGTTACAAACTTATTCCGAATCCAGCCTATCCAGGGTCAGCAAGTGCGCGGTTTCTTATGAACCCAATTGTCCATATTGCGGAGATCCCTTCCGCACTTTAGATCAGATGATCTGGCCGTGTTCGTTGTTCTGGCGCAAGGATCGTCTTAACACGAAAGCAGAGATGGAAGAGCTTCTCAAGAGCCGAGACCTCACCGCTCAGCTACCGGCCGTCCAGTTACCACTCATCTAGGTGGTAACTGTTCCCGGTGGCTCTTTCACCATAAGCGTACTTTACTAGTCGCCCCTCAGGACCATGATAAGTTCATTGCCTGTCCTTCTGTCATATCCACGCATCTGCACGTGATGAAAACATTACGGTGGTGGACCGAAGAAACCCGGGCCTGCTGTGCTTTGCACCCAAAAAATGCTTAAGCATAAACTCAACTTTCACTCAGGCAGGATGGTTGGGAAGCAGTAACTGTTGGGCCCACAGAGCCGGCATGTTAATTGATGAAATCAAACGCAGATAATTAGGACAAGATATGAACAAGCAGACTTGTCGCAGCACATTAAGGTATAGCCTTTTTTATAGGAGTAACTAATGAATGCAACATGCTGCTCGATTCAATTGTCTGCGCTTCTTACACTACAACATTTTAAAATAATTTGCATGGTCTCGTTCACTCGGCTGGTGTGATAATCCAGGTGCTGGGGGATGATTTAGCTATATACACTGATGATTACGCAACTCATACTGTCACACACACACACACACACACACACACACACACACACACACACACACACACACACACACACACACACACACACACACACACACACACACACACACACACACACACACACACACACACACACACACACACACACACACACACACACACACACACACACACACACACACACACCACACACACACACACACACACACACACACACACACACACACACACACACACACACACACACACACACACACACACACACACACCACACACACACACACACACACACACACACACACACACACACACACACACACACACACACACACACACACACACACACACACACACACACACACACACACACACACACACACACACACACACACACACACACACACACACACACACACACACACACACACACACACACACACACACACACACACACACACACACACACACACACACACACACACACACAAACGCGTGCGCGCGCGGGCGGGCGGGCCAAGAATATGGTCGTATTTCTTAATGCGAGTATACCGTTAAAAGCATAAGGCCACCTTCGCATATAGTTCTTCTGAGGCGCATAGCCTGTATTCACAAAGAGCATGTTTTGAGTCTTCTGGGACATTACATTCAACGTAAAACGGTGAGTTAGTGTAATCTTGGTCTTGGGGTAGTTAGTATAGGCAACGTTTAGTCTTAGATGATGCAGGCATGCTTCTTCTTGTCTGTCATGTTCTCGTGGCACTTAGCATTCGTATGTGGATCAGGATTTCTAAAGAGGCCCACACTGGCGACTAGTGTCTATGCAGGCGTATCGCTGAAAGCACCAAGCGCGTGCCAAGTATTCTCTCGAGAAAGGATTCTTGACCATTTCTTTCGAGGAATCTTGTACAGCTTCGGCAGCATGATCACCCTGGACGTTGTCATGTATTATGCAGCGGACAGATATCCACTGCAGAACCATGCGCTGATGCCGTTCACAGGTTTTTACTGCATAGGTGTTTTATGCCCATTGCGAGTTGTTCCTGCGTGCGTGATGACTTGAGGCACTGCCGCACATCCCATGAGCCGGTATATATGAAGGAATACTCAGCTGTCTGACCTCTGATTTAATTAAAAGCAGCCCGTAGTGCAGCCAGTTCAGTGGCTATAGATGTGAAATACGGTGACTGCAAGTGGAAGAGAATGTGACGTTAACCGTTAGAATGGAGGTACCGATGGCAGGTGATGTAGGCATAACAGAGCCGCCAGTCTAAATAAGATCGTGAGCCCTGTATGACAGATTCTACTAAGGGATACTGGTGGGGACGTTAGAAGTCTATATATAGGCATGGAGCTTCATTCTATCCAGTACTGTGGCTTAGCGCAGTGTGTTCAGTACGGCAGCGTGCGAAACATCTGTCAAGAAGCTCTCATGCGTTTTTGTTCTGACAATGATGGTTTCATTGGTAACTAACACATTCAGCTGCATCAAAACAGAGTACATGCTGAGGCGCCTCATGTTGTTGCTTGCCGCATAAACAAAATTAGCAGTCGTAGTCATGGGCCTTCCTTGCACTCTGTTAGTCTAATTGGCGAAACAGAATAACAAATAGACTAACAAATAGGCTTACGGGGTGGTTCTTCATTTCACTATGCGGTTTGGAAAAAAGTTTGAAGTCATTATCTAAGGGATTCTTGCTGCTCAGTAAGTAAACATGGAGTGGTCTTGGTTAGGGATTCTCCGCTTCGTGGAGTCGGCTGCCTCCGAGCTTTGCATGCAAAAGTAGTAGTCCAAGCTTGCTGAATAAATACAAAGGACAAGAAAGTGAGCGAAGACTGCAAGTGAAAACAATGGAGTTGATTAAGTGCTTCGACATTTCAAACTTTGTTGTATATTTGGTGTATAAAGATACACTGGGGGTCGATGAAGCTGAGGTTTTGAAAAGGGAAGTTGTCTTGATCAGCGCAGCAACTGCTTTACTTATAAGCCAGATGGTCTTTACGTAGATATCGTAGGAGTGGTACCAGCGACAACTATCACTCCAAGCACTTAAGAAGCAAGAACTCTATATAGACAGAAGCAGCCCCGGTTTCATTCACTCTTGTAGTCGG